TTCCACTTTGTAAATGTGAACTACTTTATATTGGTTTGCTCCATAAAATCCCAATAAATCTTATTCAGTTTTGTTCAGTAGCAAAATGTGGAAAAAAGTTAAAGTGGTATGAACACTTTTTGTGATGCTCTGCACTGCATAGAAATATGTCTGTGTCTCTTTCTGACAATACGTTGGTGAGATCATGTGCCAGCAGTCTAATGCCTGTGAAAGTTAACTTTGGTTTCCTGAGAACTTTGACATTGCAACACCTACCCTCCAGAGTATGGTATTCCATGTTCTGCCATTATTAGTGTTTCCAGACCTTGAGCAACCAGTGTTTCCAGAGAACTTGAAGGCAGGTTCATTTCCTTTGTAAACGTCGGGCACTTTTCTGACTACGATGAATAGCATGAAAAGAACTACACCTCAGAGATCTGTTCTTGCACAGGCAAAACACCCATGTTGCTTTCTGCCTTTGGTTCTGGTATTACCTTCCTCTATGTCCCGGAAAAGAAAGAGGTGTTCCTGAGAGGCCCCCTCCCTTCACAAGACAGACTCACAGCTCCATCTCCTCATTGATCGTCTTTTCATTAAAGCTCTTTAATTTAAGATTTACATTAGAAAGCCAAGAGTGCCATTGGCTCGATATTACATCATTCTCCACAGTTATCTTTTTAAAATGTCAACATAAGCAGGATGTGTCACAGGTGATCTGGTCTCTCACTTTTAGCTACAGTGACTCTCCTGGTTTAAAATGAGTATTGCATCACATGTGTATCTGTGTGTAATGCGCTGACATCAGGACAGTCCACTATACTGCAATTTACTGTAATTTTCTGCCGATATATTATAATGAATTATTCAGAGAGAAGCTTTATATGCACAGCACACTCTTAATCAATGCAGGGTGATCTCATATTTGTCATGTTGTAATTGGTCGCAGTGATGGAGTATTCGTGTTATACTTACCATAATGGATTTTAATGGAATATTCTTCAATCTTTAACATGTCCCATGTGTATGATATTGCAGTTCCAAGAGCTCAAAGTTGCAGTGCATAACAGTAATGAAGATCTATCAAAAGTTGAAATGAATTTGTTTTTTTTTTTATTACCGTATTCCCTCTAGAGGAATACGGTATAACAGAAAATAATGGTGCGTAACTATACACCGTATCAAAACCTGCATTGTATCTTGCATTGAAGCAAAAGACAAAACAGTTTTTAAGCTGTTCATCAGATTATCAGCAGTTTAAGGCCATAGCCCTGAAAAGTCTAAATCATAAGTAGGACCTCTGTCATTTTATCTCAGAGACTCATAAATGTGTCTGAATCATAAATGAGGCTTCTTGTAAAGACCAATCGCTTCCAATGTTGGATGCAATCATTTTTAGTTTCCTAAAGGATCTGGAGTAATTTGGGACAATCGAATCAAGTAGTAAACCCAAGTAAATTTCACATGTGCTGAGCTGGAGGACGAAAAGACAGATCCCTTACTCAAAGTACTGTCCAATAATCATAAGAAGGCATTTGTGAGCAAAAGTTTAAAAAAAAAACAAAAACCCTGACACAACCGCCTGTCTTTCCACACCTCAAACTTACCCACTTAAAATTTGCAAAGGAGCATCAAAGATTGCACTGTAATGTTTTGTTTAGTCTTCTTTATCTTTGATTTGGGAATGGATTTGTTTTTATTTTTTAGTTTGACTTTATTGAACATATTGTAATTAAAGAATAAACCAAGTCATATACAAAGGAAATCAGTTAAAAAAAAAACAAGCAAAGGATGAACAGTAGTAGAGTATATTTACATTCAAAGCAATGGGTAGAAACATAAACTTAGTTTTACACCATCCCCTCTAACATCAGTAGCATCATCCAATAAATTACTCTTCATGTTGACTTTGTTACAACATTCTTAACTAGTTAGCATTTTCTAAATCTGGTACAATGCATTCATATTTCCATGCCAATGAAATTCTTTCTAAGTCAGTATACCATAATTGACAACTTCATTAAATAGATACAGTGACATTTATAATAGCTGTTATGACAGTAATTGTTTCTCATATGAATATGCAGTGATGACATTGTATCTGTCATTCAGGTTTTTCTGGAAGTGCTTTTATGTTTTTCCAACACATTTGGTAACATGATGTCTCATGGTTTCCGGACCAGTCATGAATCCCGGCGTTGTTGCTTGGAAAATGGCCAGCCCGTCAGAAAAGAATGGTTTTGTTCCAAGGAAAGCTCCAGTGATTCAGCGGATCTCCGGCAATCAGCTGAATGCCTGGGTTTTTATTTGTAAATCTTTCAAAGGACACTTGACCAGCATGGAAAACGATGAGTTGAGGATAAAAAGTGATGTTCATAATCTGAAAGATAACAGCTGGACTTTCTGAATAATAAAGGAAGTTTTGTATTTATTATATGGAGCTCCCTAGAGTCCAGGCTTTTTACCAAAGTGGCCAAAATTTAAGTAATAGCAAACTTGAAAGCACGAGACCACAAAAATCTTAGAACCTTATATAATCTTACATTTTTAAAACTAACTTTTTGTGCCCTTCTTATGTTATCTTTTCAATAATAAACTTTATCTTCTGTAGAAATGGATCAGTAAATTATTGTTGAAGGCTTAGTTTCTCTCTCTTTTTTTCGCTTTTCAAGTGAAAAAAGTAGTGGATGATGAGGAAGCGCATGAAAACAAGCCCATTGATAACCACAAACAGACAGACAGATTTCATTGCCATTAAATTGTAAATTTAAATATGTACATACTGAAAGAGATTTTGTTGCAAGGCACCAATGATTATAAAATAATAATAAAAGTATCAATGTAAATACAATAAAAGATTAAATTAATGGCAATTTAATAGTCCTGCGGCGTCTATGGAATCTGGTTGTTGCAGAGCAGCTTCATCCCTTCATCCAACCAGACCGTAAACACGAGGAAGATTCCACAACTCAAAATTACAAATAGGTTATTTTACATTTAATTTGTCATGTTCATGTTTCAGAGCAGGATGGAAAGCCCCATGGTTGACCAGAGACCAAGATGGAAAACTTCAATGTCTCTTACAAGGAGATATTCACATACATGTGCAAAAATATTTCAACAGGAAGAATTTCCCCAATCACTACTGAATACAGTACTATTGTGATGGAACGTAGTAAGAAAAAAGAACCTTTATGTCCCCAGGGGACGCTGTCGTATTAATGATGATAAAATTACCTTTTATATTCAAGTTTTTGTCCATCTTGCTCAGCATTTGGTTTTCCAGTTATTGTCAGATAAACATACTCATTCAAAATCACCACTGCTCACCCATTTCCAGTTTTCTTTGAGGTTTGTGTTCTATGTTTGTGTGTGTGTTAATTTGTTTTATTTTTTGTGTAACCAGCTTGTTGGGTGCTGCAGATTTCAGCTCAGGTTCCTCTTGAAAATGAGATGTGGATCTCAGTGGTGTTTTCACCTGGTTAAATAAAGAAAATGTACATATAATGTCTGTGTTAATGCAGTAATCTGTCCGTCCAAGAATCTTTTGTCAACTCATAGTATGTTTCCTAAGACATTGTTATTATTGTTAACCTATTATTGTTCCTATCCTATTGTACTATCATAGGAAAAACACCACATTTTGATCAGACATGATTAAAAGTTGCTATTCACGCCATCAATGGTATACATTCTATCAATCAATACGTAAAGTATTGATTGATACCTTATGTTACCGGTGGGTGAAGGGGAAACCTAATTTTAACATTTTTCTCCTTTTTCATCTTTTTTTCAGTGGCTATTATCTTCTTTTGGATTTGTCAGATTATTAAAAAGCACATTTTAAACTAAATGCTGTTAGTTTATGGATCAAATGTTTTTTTGTTTTTTTTTATCTGACACGTTGTCCACTATATTTTATTGGTTCATGCATCACTTTAGAACATCATGACAACGTGACATTTCACCTCCAGTGAATACATTGCTGTCAGCTGAAACTTTGTTTACAGCAGTAAACAAAGTTCCATTTAGACGCTTTTCCCTTTTTCTGTTTGGTCAGGTGGTTTATTTCCTTTTTTCTCTATGCAAGTAGAAATCGTGCAGATGTTGAGAAAAATCACATAAATCCACATATCTGAATGCTTAAAACTTAATCAAGCCCCCCTTGCCCACTCCTCTCCAAGCCCTTTTGCTGAGTTCACTCTGACTAACACTGATCCACCTCAGTCAGTCACTGTCACTGTTGTTTTGGTGATCTGCTCCTGACACACCAGCCCCATAAATCACTTCACTTTGGAAGTTTGGACAACATGAGGACATTAGTATGACTGAACCGGGTCCTTGTTCGTGTCAGCTGATGAAAGTCTCCATCCTGTTTGTGTGTCATTTGGAGCCTCGCTGGTGCCTCTGTGTGGCAAGACCTTGAAACCGCAACTTCTGCTGATTGATTTCCAGGAAATGACAGTCAGTGGGCGGTGAGGCAGTGCGAACTTGGCAGACAGAAGACGGCTGTCTACGACGGTGGCTGTTCTGGAGGGACCTGTGTGGGGCTGACGGGGTGCCAGAGAGGTGGCAGCGGGAAGGGGCGGAGCCTCTTCCTGTTAATTAGCAGGGCCGTGTTGTTAGAGTCCAGACAGGAATCTCGCAGGGGATTTTTCGGGGGTTTTGATTCACCTGCCTGGTTCCACATGCGAGTCTGTGGGTTGTGACAGATCTTTGAGTGTTTGGAGACATTTACAAAGGGAATCTACCGACTTGTCATTTGCAAAATGCGTGTGTGCTTTTCAAAAAAGTGTGTGCTTCCCCCCCCAGCTTTTCACTAGGGATGCACCGGTCTACATTTTTCACTACTGATACTGATGTCTGAGGTTTAGTAGCAGCTGACACACATTCAGTACAAAATATCGGTGCTGAATTTACTTAAAATGTTTCTGCTTTTGAGAAACAGTCACAAATGTACTGATTTAAGTTAATTATTACATTAATATCAAATTAAGTCTTGTTACTCTCTCTTTGTCTTCCAGGAACGTTTCGCTGAGATCTTTGGGGGCAACGCGGCAGCAGAGAGCAGAAGATCTCAGGAGAGCTTCAAAAACTGGCTGCTGCTGGGGATGAGTGTGGTGACGGCCTTCATAGCCGGGTCCATCTTCGCCCAGAAGCGCCTGTGAGTGGAGTGGACAGTCGCCCTCGCCTCGCCCCGCTGTCCAATCACTACGCCCAATGTTAAACATGAAGGTCCTGTTCCTCTCATCAGAACTGCTGATGTGACGAGAATCCAAACTGAGAATCCAAAACGTTGCCAGAAGACTTAATAAGAAAAAAAAAAGTTTTTAGTATTCTTGTTCACTTTTTCTTCGATACGATTTTGTGGTTCTACAAAGACTGGCATGTTGTTTTCATTCACTGAGCCCTTTGTTCCCTTTTTTTCTCCCCTCCGCCACTTTCCTTTTGTTCCTTTAAACTTTTTTTTTTTTTTTGCTGCTCAGATTTATTAAAGATCTTATTTTCATCATTCTTTTCGAATGTTTGGAATTAGTTTTAACACATTTTTTTCTCTGCCATTCTAGTTTTCTACAAAACTGAGTTTAGCTTCAACGGTGACGCTGAAAGCCTGTCGCATCGAGTCGGTGTGTTTTGTTGCCCCCCCTCGCCCCTCCCCCACAGAAAGCAGCTTTGTTTGTGCCATATGGAGAGTGAACTACCTTCTGTAGTTCCAAATTCCCGTCTGCCATCCCCATCATCATCCTCATCCATCAGTCCATACACAGTTTAAAGGAAAGTCTAGCTGAGAAAAGCGTTGTTGGATTTTGGCATAGTGTCGGTGTTTCCGTTTGCCTCATGGTTACCGCAGCGATGTGGTTGGCAGCTTGTCAGGATCTCTTATGAGCGGTAAAGGATCCAGGAAATACCGTAGCGACGCATGACTTACTGGAACACAGGTGAACATGAAAACATCAAGCAGTTTACAACGCCTTGTAAAAGTATTCATTCCCCCTTATAATCATAAAATTCAATGTATTTTAATGTGGGCTTAATGCAATTGACCAACACACATTAGAACGTAATTAGTGAAGTGCAACGTTTTAAAAAAATTTATTACAATTTAACATGGAAATGCTGCTTTAACTCATATCAAAGCATCTTCAAATAGTCACTGTGCACCGGAAGGGTCTCCAGTAGCAGTCAGTCTCGCGGTGAATCTGAAGAGGCCTCTGGCTGGAGTTGAGATATGATTCTTGCTTGTTGGAAGAGATGGTTTAAACTTCCTGTCTGCTTCCAGGAAGCATCCTGTTCAACTCCTCTGGGATTCGGCGTTGCAATTCAGGTGTTACTTGAGCTTTGAGATGATAAAAAAACAATGCCTCGTTGCCATGGTTAAGCATCCTAACAAGCGCTCAAAAGTAAAAATATAACACCACATCCAAAACCAGGGGAAAAATTGTCCAAACATGCAACACGTCAACCAAAAACTCTGGTCACAGTCTGTAGAAAGAACAAGTCAAAACTAACGCGGAAGAGCAGCACCAACAGGCTGCCGCCATCATTAGTGTAACCTGAAAAATACGGCATGCGACACATGCTTGTGCAAATAACAAAAATACTAAACTTACCCTTTAAGTCCAACAGAAGTGTTTAGCCGGCAAAGGTTGGGAGTTGCGGGGCAATTAGGAGCAGTACCTTGTTTAAACAGAAAAAACATGTTTATAACGAGATTAATAAGCTCGTTATAACTCAGAGCAGTCACAGTAAAACAGCAACACCTCTTGGGGTTTCAGATGTGGTCGAGACGAGACGACCCAGGATGAGAACAAGGAGATTACTGAGCCCCTTCATGCATTTTTAACATGTGGTCTGTCTGTAAATGGAGCATCGTGACGAGATTTCAAACAAATATTTTTGTTATGCTAAAGGCTTTTCTTTTGTTTGTTCATTTGAACAAGTTTCTCATAATGAGATGAGTTTCGTCTCATTTTATCTCATTAAAATGAGAGGTTTACATTTCTATGACAAAATAATAATTCTCATTTTAAGGAGTTTTATATAGTTCTTTTCTTTAGAGATATAAGCAAAACTCTTAAGAGATATAAAACTCATTAAAAGGAGACTTTTTCAGTTTTTTTCTATAACGAGGTATAAAACTTATTTCAACTGATTTATCTAGCTTTTTGTCCTTACATGGAGAAACTCTTGAGTTTCTGTTACTACAAGACGTTTTACATCTTAAGATGTAAAACTAGTTAAAACAATACGTCTATATTGTAAGGAGACAAGTTTATGAGTTATAAAATTCATCTTAAAGAGGTTTGTCTCGTAACTAAAGTCTTTTCGTCTTAATAATGAACCTCTCCTAAATTTCTTTCCAACCTTCAGCAGTAAAAAGCTTCCATAAAGTTCCACTGCAAGCATGAAATAAATGAACTAATCATGGTGCAGTAGGTGTCAGACCCCTTAACTGCTGCTGTAAATACAAACAAATGCGTTTGTTGATTTATTAAGGGTAATTAAAAGGCCATAAATCATCATCTCTCTGCAGCCTGCAGAGCTGCACTCACTAAAGGAGCAAAGAGAATTAGCCTTATTTGTATCTGTTTACAGTAGTTTGATTTCTGAGTTGCTGTTGATCTATATTTTTTTAGTGGGTTTAAAAGTGAGCAGACTGTTCCATCCTGCTATCCGTAGCTCTTAGAACAACAGAGGGATGAATTCCTGCTGTCACTTCCAGTAATCGGGTCGCAATGGAGTCCTGAACAAAAGCCCGTTTTGTTGAGCCATTACTCAGACCTGACATTTATCGCTAACAGTTAATATTAGCCTTCAGATTGATGATGTAGCTCCGTCATCAAAACTCCTGTTAGAAAAACGTCTCGCGCCGCAGGACCATGAAACCGCATCACTTCAGGTTCTCCGTGATTCGCTCCCGCAGTCCGCCGTCCTCTCCCTCGTCTTCCTCCGTTCTTCCCCTGACGCTTGGAAGCTGTCAAACCTCGAGCCTTCTCCTCTTCCTCCTCTTCCTCCGCGGGTCCCACGGCTGTCACGCAGCTTACTCGTGTGTGTCACTCACGGCTGGGCCACCTGCCGCCTCGCGCGCTCGGCGAGAAACCTTCCACGGGAGACTTATGAGGAGAGAACCGGAGGAGGAGGACGGGCGGAAGAGCTCTGCTTTGTTTCTGAACATTTATCCAGCTGTAATTCAGAGTTGTTGTCCCCTCGCGCTGCTGGAGTTGGATCCGCTTCCTGATGACGTCAGCGTGCCACCATGTTGCGTCGCGGGTCAAGAATTCCAATAAAACCGTCCTGGTTAATCATTCATTCTCATTTCGTCACAGTCATCAGAACCATTCCACCTCTCACATGTTTTCTCTCACGTTTCCCCACATCTTCTCCATTTCTCCCATAATCAATATCTTTGAGAGAAATCTCTCACTAATAAGCAGAAATGGAATCCATATTGATTTTAAAACACTTGTTCCTCCTATAAACCAGGGTCTGCTGTCATACATTCCAGTACAGTATATTTATATAGCTATTTTTCTAGTGTATGCTCCATTAAGAAGCTGCTCAGTTTTCTCTGCTGTCTGGGCCCCAACTCAAACATCTGTGTGTGTAGGTGTGCATGCGTGTGTGAGTGTGTGTTGGTGTGAGTGTGTGTTGGTGTGAGTGTGTGTGAACGTGTGTTTTTGTCAGGCAACCCGTTTCTGAAGGCGGCACATATGAAGGAACCGTGTCAGCACTGCCACGGCCCTCCAGTACATCTATGGATATGCTTGTTATTTAAATTGATTAGGTTAGTAAGTTAGCTTAGTGACATATTTAAGTAAAGAACTGATGGCATTTTAAAACTAATTTATATTTGATGTAAAAAATGATAATAATAATAGTAATAAAAAAGCATATTTGTGCCCCTTCAAAATGGCCTTAAACTCCATCTTTGCATTGATGTGTGTCGTCACCTGTGAGTTCTTCTTTTCTTTTGTTTAAGGACTATTCCAATGTTGGTAGACAGGAAGACAGGAATATTTGAGTCTTTTCAATGCTGGGTAAACAAGCCGATCAATAAGAAGCAAAAAAAAAAAAAAAAAAAAAAAGCAAAAGAAAAAAAAGGAAATCATATTTATGTCCAATTGTCTCTTAGTATGTCTTTAGAATGCCATTGTAAACTTTGAGATAACACTGAACCCAATAAAACAATGTTTAAAGATATTTTAAGTTTTTCTAGTCTCTTTTTTTTTTTTTTTTTTTTTTTTTTTTTTGAAGTCTTGATGACAGTGGCTCAACTGAATAGGGGCCAGACTGCAAGTGGCCCCCAGGCTGCACTTTGGTACAATGACCCCTGACATGATGCATTTCACTCAGAGAGCTGCGTTTCCGAAATAAATGAATTTTCAGTCTTCTTGTGATCTGAGTGGTTCTCACAGCACACTGCCGTTACTGGGTAGCTCTGGATCCTGACTGTGAGATGATCATGGATTCGGCTCCTGATTGGAGAATTTCTTCTTCAGCTTCTATATATATATATATATATATATATATACATATAAATCATACTTTTAATCTAAAGTGCCCTCAGCTGAGTGTCCGCATGTGAATTTCTGTTTCTTAATGGATTTGTATCTCTATAACAGAAACCTGAAGAGTAGGGGCCCAAGTCTAAGTTGAGAGCCTGAGACTCAGCTGCATCAAAAGACACATTATTCCACAACATTCATCAACGACTGAATGCAAAAATACAAACACTCAAAGCCAGTAAAAGCTTTAGGAACCAGTCGTCTTCTAGAGTGTTTTGCTTCCTCACCATATGGACTCTCCTGGTCCAGATCTGAAGCGGGAAGAAGCAACAAGTACCTGAGGTTTGACGCAGAGCTTCAAAACGCAACACAAACAAAAAGGAACGAAACCGAGCTGGTAAACTGGCTGTCAGAAGATCCAGCCTGGGAAAGACCAGATCTCTGCAGAAATATTTGATTTGTTTTTCTTTTTATTTCTTATTTTATCAGAATAAAAATCCAATGAGATTGAAAACCTTTTTCAAAGGCCGAGAGGCTGCAACAAATCCAACACATAAAGCAGACAAAAGGAAATGTCAAGCTATAAAATAAAAAAACTGTTACATGTCATTGAATCTCAACACTCACTGTCATGTCTCCCTGATGGCAAAGACAAGAAGGATTTCTGTGTCTGAATGTGGAAACATTGTTGATTTGGACAAGCAAAGTCTGTAGCAACAACCAACCACTGCTAAGGTATAATGAACAAAATAATTAGTTCATAAACATCCTAGGG